ATTAAATATTAAATATCACCATATAAAATAACCAATAAGGATTACAAACCGAAATTTCTACCAGTTACATATACACAGTCATCAAAAACAAACAAATAACCAGCTTTAAATATAACAAATAACCCCCCTTTTTTCAAAAATTAGAAATAAAAATAATAATAATTTTTACCAATCATAATTTTACACAAACCCCACCACACGTATATACATACATGCGAGGAAATATTATTCAGTGGAAAAATAGAAAAATGACATGTATACATTCAAGAGACATTCACGAGAAATTTTCGCTACACTTCCAATCTTTGAATTTCAACATACAAATGCGTATGTATAGACACAACACCACCCACATACATACATATGTCATATCCGAAACTGTCCACATATATTTATATATGTATGAGTCCCGACGGACGACCAAGTGTGTATGTGTGTCTGCGTACTTCATTGGGCGTATGAACATACATCGATGTTTGCGTTAGCACGATGACACAACGACGACGTTCCCCCACCCCCATTTCTATAATAACACCAATACACGTAATCTACATAAATCCAAAATTTTAAAAAAATAACCAGTTTGTCTGACGATCGCAAAAGCGTGAAACCCAGGGTCACAAACTCACATCAATTCAACCAAATACGTTAGCTCTATCTCTGATATTGAGCGCTTTCTAATAAGCACCGCGCATATAATATATAAATAATTATATATATATATTTATTTATATTTATATACACACACTTTTCACACACACACACACACACACACACACACACACACACACACACACACACACACACACACACATATATATATATATATTGAGACAGGTTTCGTTAAATAATTTAGACATGCTCTGTCTCCTTATTCTCGACCGGATCTTTTCATATTCGTTTGTAAGCTTTTTTGTGCGGTTATTAAAACAAGAGAGGAAAACACTATGTTGGCTCATATTGTATTTAATCCGCGTACTTTCGACATAGCATAATGTCATCATCAAGGAATTGATAATTATATAGTAAGTATTTAGTTTTCATGGTTATGAAGTACAAAAAGTATTGTGGTTATCCGAAAGTCACCATTTTTATATGTGGAGTCAGTAACGCTGTGCCATGGCTTTGGTGACGGACACAGTTTAAGGGCGGTAACTACGTATGCCGTAGAAAAATACCGAACTTGAACAGTTGCTCAATAAAGGAGAAACTGTTATACCAAGCGCTAACATTTAAAGACTATCTATTGTAAACATTTTTAAATGTTTGTGGAGTGTTCGTAATTAATTTTATTGAGGTTTGTTCTAAATGATTTGATATAAATCACTTCGAGAAATTTAGTTTGTGTTTATTCTTTTCGTGGAAAAGTATGGCGCTATTTTCGACGAGGATTTTTCTGAATTGTGATTGTGTATGTCTATAACGATAGGCGTAGCTCAAGAAACAGTTACTTGAAAGGAGAATTTATTCTAAAGTGTTTAGTGATGTGAACGGGACAGTTGAATTTGTGAACCAGGTGGACAGAGGTCACAGAATAATAAAGAAACAGTGACGTGCTATAAACAAAAGAAATACTCTTTGAGAATGTCACTAAAAGAAATTCGATTAAAATTAGAAGCAAAAATGGACTGATCAATAAAAGCCGACATTGCCAATATCAAAGGCGGGAAAAGATGCAGAATATATATTATAAAAAAAGCATAAAAAATATGACAACACTAATCTATAGTCTTTAAGAAAATATCATTAAAAAACGTGTAAGCCGAGCAAAGAATTCCTCGAAAAATTATCACTCCATAATTTTAATATTGGACGTCAAATTTCATAGAATAAACCTGATGACTGGCCAAGAAGTCAAATTTTTCACAGGAACCGTCACCCAATACGACGTTGATGAGAAAAAAAAGGGAATATAGAGTAACGTCTTCGTTTCGTCTGAATTAAAATTATAGCTCTTTTCAAAATTGATGACACTTTCAAGATAAATACACAGAATTAATGTACGTTCTTACCCGTGACGTTTTTTTTTGAGTGGCACAGGTTTACATTTTGTAAAAGTTTAAACATGTACCGAATTAAAAGAATCGACACTAGCCTCTCCAGACATTAATTCAATAAAAAACAGTGGGCTATCATTAAACGAGATGCAAATAAGAATAAAAACCGTATTTCAGTAAAGATATTTGGGAAGCAATAAAAACTGTTGCAAACAATAAAATTCGAAGTAGTAGAAAGGTTAACAAAATCAATGGCTGAAAACTGATAAACGTTATGCAAAATCAAGGAGCTAATATTAACATGGAATAAAATAAAATAACAATTTCTACAGTTATATCCCATATTTAATAATAAAATATTTGTTTTTGAAGCCTATTTTTTAATTGCTTTATAAATAATATTTTATGCGTCTATTTATTTGCTTAATAAAATGTTCCTCTAAAGCAATTTATTATCAATATTTTTAATAAGGATAGCCATTGTAATCTTTCGCCCAATAAAATGCTCGAATGTCACTTAAGGTAGGAAATATTATGTGTGCCTAATTTTATGAAGGTGGCATGTCTTGGGGGGGGGCACGGTGGAGTAATGAATAGCGGTTTGGATTGAGGAATCTAAGCTCTATCATCATCATCATCATCATCATCATCATCATCATCCCTTTGATTTTTGTAATCGCAGGGGGAATCCGAAGGCAGAATCCATACTGAATCTCCTCCACAACGGTCAATCAACGGCAGCCATCAGCAATTCTGGTATAGTCATGGGAGGCACGGTGGAGTAATGGATAGTGGCTCGGATCGAGAGTTCGAGTTCGAATTCCAGTCGAATCCATTACATTCACTTACGTGGTAATATCCTTGGGAAAGGTATTAATCCTCGTTTTCTCCCCCTAGCTATGGGTAACTAGCAGGACAGTCCGGATTCTATAACCTTGGATTGCAACTCGTCTGCGGGAAAAAATCTGCCTCGTCAGTCATGCATCGAAAGATACATGATCGCCTAAGCGTGAATCATGCATGGCACAGGAATCGGTGAGTCGAGTTCGAATTCCAGTCGAATCCATTACATTCATTTACATGCCTTGGGAAAAGGTATGAATCCTCTTCGTCTCCCCTCAGCTATGGATAAATAGCACGACAGACCGGGTTCTATAGCCTTGGATGGCAATTGGTGTAGCGCTGAAAGAAATGTGAACATACTGCGTGAACAAAATCTGCGTTGTCAGTCATGTATCGAAAGATACATGATTGCCTACGCGTGTATCACGCACGGCACAAAACTGACTGACTGACATGTGTTAAGGTCATTTTAGTTAGTGTTGTGTCCTCCTTGCTTTATATGTAAAAATTAAGATATTAGAGGAATTTAGAAGTATTATAATGTATGTTTCGTCGCATTTAAATACTTAGGACGACAAATAAAATAATCAGTGTATTCATCTTTCTTCTTCTTCTTCTTCTTCTTCTTCTTCTTCTTCTTCTTCTTCTTCCCCAATTTCAAGATATAGACGATTATAGCTCTCCACAACATTCTATCTCATGTGACTCTTAGCAGTTTTCCCCCTTTGCTAAGCCCCCCCCCCCACT